AAATTTTTTTAACGTGAGGCACACATTTACCATTGGTCAGTTTTCTTACTCTGGACAAGGATCAAAGTAATCAACTAACTACAATTACATGTAGCATACAGAGGACTTCATTTCCAGTACAGTAAACATGTGCCAGACGCTACTATAGTAGGGACTGAGTTTGAGCAAAAACGCATTGTGTTGATTATTTTCTTTTATGTGAGGAATATATGAATGTTCTTTTGTAACATTAATTGGATGTAGACGATACATGACTTTTTTTTTTTTTAAAAAAATCACCATTTAGCCCAGATGGATATAAGATTCAAACTATTGTACAGATATGTCAACAACTTTAAAGGAAAAACATTATCTGTTAAAGAGTGAAATCACTTGGGAGTACTATCATCATTGATGACCTTTCAATTTATGGAGGTCATTTGGTTGTGACTACGGACTAACTACAACAACCTCTGAGCTCAATGAACATTTATGGTCTGCGATTGATTGGAGGATATCAAAGACTGGTTACTGGGACAAGGTCTGTATGAATGAAGGACTGGGTACTAGATTAAGGTCTTTATAAACCAATGACTGGTTACTGGGACAAGTTCTGTGAAGGAGAACTGGAACTATGCAGGATTTCAACAGGATATGGTTGATGTAATTGGCAGAGATGTGTAATAAGTGTACAATACAACTTCATGTGTTACATGGGGTTAACAACTCAGTGTTGAAGACTAAAATTTTCTCAAAAATTTTACAGTTAAAATTAAATATTGAAATCATTACAAACAAGATGTTATCCAAAAATGACTTGTCTGTACATATTGGATATGAAGAAAGTAAATGATGAGTGAATATTACCCTCAAATGAATTAAAGATAACATTTCTCCGGTAATCAGCACAATCAAATTTATGATCATATTCATTACTTGTACCTGTGAATTAGATGATAAATACAGGCCAAAATGATTGTTTAGTATGAGTATCATTTCTCCAACAAATACCTCACATCTACAGTGTCGTTTCTAATTTCTAATTAGACAACAATTACTGAATTATCATAGTCTTTTAAACATGTTAGACTGTAAATGGTTTGGTCCTATAAGTATCATCAAAAGTCTTCTTCATATAGCTTTAGTCTTTTCTATTTGAATGTTTCAAGATGTTATTAATCACCATATTTCACATAAACACTTCACAAATGTATTTGAAATTTTTGGTTAAATTAGAAACTGTCAACGCAACTCTGCCTTTGATAATTGGTCCTTAGATTGTGGTGGAAACTATGGAAAACTAGGTTGAGCAATAGACATATACCCTGGCTCCATTAATTGACTATATTTGTAATAAGAAACATTTTTTGTTAGTGTCCTAAGTAAACATATCAGTGATACAGATATTAACGCTGCAGACACACATTGAATTGTACACTGTTCTTAAACTAAACTTGAACAACATAATTCATCTGGTATATCATTATACCATACATTTTGCATTTCAATACAGAGTATTTACTAACTGCCACAGATACATCCAAAACGTGTCAAATTTTAGTTAGTAGTATGAGGTTTAAATGTGACTTGGGTATTCACAAAATGCTTATTACATTTAAGTACCATTCTGAAACATTTTACAGCTGTTATATTTTACTAGACAAAACGTAGACAAGCCCATAGCATACAATATCAAACAAATTTCTTCAAAACCATAAAATTGGACTTCTTAAGTCAAATCTGGTCACAAATATTTTTTTCATTGAATCTTCAAAAACTTTATCTAATTGAGCAAGGGTATATTGAGTATTTTTATGCATGTCGTTACGGAGATGTTTATCTAAATACAAACAAACCATTTTCAGTTTAAACCAAAATTATGAGGACTTAAAGAAGTGTTTGTTAATTGCCTCCACTTCAGCTCTTTAACTCTGATTGAACAAGCCAAAAACCTGTTTTTAAAGCAAAATACAACATTCATCATAATCCAACATTGATAAAAAATTACAATTAAAGCATTCTGAATCTTTAAGTTTGTTTTGATCTAACCCCCACTTATATGGCAATGTATAATATCTGATTGATACAATTTTCGTATATCATTTAAACTTTTACAATAAATCATTGCTAACCTTAATTTTCCTTCCATTGATTGTTTGGTGACAAAAAAAAATGTATCATCAACTTTTTCTTAACCTGAATGCATTATTGAACTTAAACTTAAGACAGCTGAATGGTGGACTGTAACCTTGATATGATATACACAAATATGCAGGTGTATCATACCTCAGAAAAAGTTCAAACACAGACTACATATACCCAATCTACAGACCATCCAATTAAAAGTATACACCAGATGCAAAACACATGTTTGTACATTTCAAATTTATGATGCCAATTCCTAAAACTACTCTTAACAACGATTAACTTTGACGTATAAAGGGTACATTTCTTAAATAAAAGTTGCTGCTATAAAACCATTAAGTTGAAATTTTTAAACTAATTTTAAAATAGTTTCCTGATGTGAAGGTAAAAACATCTTTGTTGACGTTTTATAAAAAAAAAAAAATCAAGTTGGTGATGATAATAATTTTAACCAAATATTTAAGCTGCCTCTTGTTCAAATCATCTAGTTCTTAATGTACATATATGTATGTTATAATTGTCTGTAACACTACCAGTCTAATATTACAACATAGAATTCCCAGTTAGTGTTCAAAGTTTGTTGTAATAGCATGATCTATAAAACTTTTATGATTTAGAAGCCAGTATAGTGATAATAGTTATACTAATTGACTGTTTCATAACTTTCGTTATATTATATCACCAAGTATTTCACAATTCTTGTTCTATCTTCGATAATGCCTTTTAAATAACCATCAAATAAACGTCCAAATTTGAAGCAGTTGTAAATTTAAAAAGTATAATCAGAATATAATATACAATTCGTTGACAAAAATTGATCTGAAAAAAAAATGGATTTAATACTGGTAAAAAAAAAGGTAGTTGTGTACCACATGCCGTGAGGTTATATCACATATTACAGACTAGATCACTGATCGTCATGAGCTACTACAGTATAGTTACAGATGTGACTAGTGAACAACATAATAGGATTATACATTTTATACCAGAATATATTTACTGGGTTGAATATGGTTTCAAATATCTGAAATGTAATTGTCTTAACAGAGTGTTATTCAAAAATAGACAGGGAGACAGATTTTATACAAGTGTGCAACATTTGTTTCAGAATCCAATTTGATTTCTTGTAGTATGCCTATCATATACAGAATGTATTGTATAAACAGGTAAAATAGTAAGTACATATTAGATAGACAGACTTTACACTATAAAGCTTTATACAAACACGGGTTTGTGGGCTTCCTAAAGAGAAAGTAGACTTCTGTTAATGAAACAGCAGTCTTTAAAGACTTGTTTATGTTGTTTGTACATCTGTTTAATCAACAAATACTCTTTATTTAAAATTAGACAATGGAAGATTCATTGCAATCATAAGACAGGGTACAGGCTTATGCTTCCTATATTGCAATGCAATGATAGAATTAAGTATTTAACAAGCACTATGATAATATAATGAAAAATTATGGAGTCAGACAACCAGAAATTGTTCAGTACAGGATTATACAGGTCTGATCACATTAGTCAATATCACAGGAAGAACCACTACTGCTAAATCTATCACAATTAGCAATCAGTAATCTACAACTACATTGTATACATCAACATGCACTGCCAAAAAACTAGAATACTAAAACTAAATTATAAAAAAAAACAGAAAGAAAAGATATTTTTTAGTGTCACATTTGTTGGAAATAAGAATAGAGATGTACGCACTTAAAAGCAGAATTCAGTATTTATGGACGGCCAGTATCATTCAATAGCCGGTGACCATTTATATCAACATAATGAAAAACATTCGGAGAGTCAGTTGTTAGCCAAATAAGGCCCAAGCACGTACAAATTATTTGAAGTACCTCTCACCACATTGTTAATATGGGTATTACAAATATTTCTGCTACACTTTTTCAGTCTTCCACATAGTGCAAACCAGGTATTGAAAAGATGTGTTTAAATTTTATAAATTTACAATTACATGTACGTATTTTTAATGAATTAACAATTTAAGATTCTTTCTCAGTGAGCCATAGCGATTGGTTCAATGGTTTCAAGATCTACTTCAGTTGTTGACAATGAACAAAGCATGGGATGGGATAGTTCCTACATCTGTAACAAAACTGTTGAAAGGTGTTTCTAAATTGTATTCAATTCAAATTCTCTGTATATTGGAAATCTTTGTTATACTTCAAGAAAAAGAATTTATTGTTGTTTTAAGTCTTATTAACAGTCAGGGTCATTTAAGGACCTGCCAGATTTGGGTGGTGGAGGAAAGACAGAGTTCATGGAGATAAACCATGGACCTGTGGCCAGTACCTTTTGACTGACCAAATGTAGCCTTGGAACCTGCAACCCATGATTGAAGGGCTAGTGATAGGCTGTCAATTTAACAACACAATCATATGTTGTGAAATCATGTAAGACAATTTGACTCTGATAGAAATTCTCTATAAGGCTTTCTATCTAAAGCAGCTTGAGGACATAACAACCGAAATGTATTTTTACATTTCAGTTCAGTTTCATTTTCCTCTACCACTAAGTAACATAATATCAATTTACAATGTGTTTATCACACCAGCAAAAATAATTTAAAATAGGTAATAAAACTTTGTGGTAATAATAAACAGCTCTTCAGTATATCATGAACAATGAATGTAGACCTTTCTACTACTCTTCATGCAAGTTGCTAGATTTACTACAGAATGAGTAGTATTATACCAGATGTTGTGGAGACATACACTTACAAAGTCATCTCAATCGTTGTGTTTAAAAAAGTCCTTATTTGAAACTACTTAACAAAATTCTAATAACCAATTGTAATTTAACAGATTTGATTTAGATTTATTTTATATTATAACTGTAATAGTAAGATCCAGGTTTGATTAAAATTAAAATCATTCTGTATGGTGAAGAGACACATTATTGCTGGAGTTCCATATACAAGATGATTAGTAATATCACTTGAGATCGACCCTGTTGTAGCTGGCCTGGTAACTTGTGAGATGCGCAGTGGAAGCCCCTCGTGCACCAGGCTTGGCACACTTTTTAATCAAGTCATCATAACTCTGACCAAATAAAAAACAAACCAACACCACAGTCATATTATCACACCCAAGTCCACCCATTTGACAGTCTGGTGCTAAACAGCGTGTCATCAACTCCTCACAAATCTGCAATAAAAATAAATATAGTTTGTCAAGTGTCTCATTGATTTGTTTCTTAAGTTTAAAATTAATCTTTTTTAAAAAGTAAAGATGCTTCTTTCACTGAAACCAAAATCTACACAGTTTCATTAAACACATACTTCTGAAATAATTTCATTTTAGCTCTTCAATCCTTTACACTGAGATAATCTACCTTCAACTTCATTTTTCTCACTTTTGAATGTCTTTCAGTACCTATTTTGTCATTAGATGATTGACTTCAAATTTGATGACTGACTTAAAAGTCCATATTTATTCACTATATTGTAGAATTGTGATCATTATGATATTAAGGATGTTCTCCGCGAAGTAAAATTATCTCCGGATTAAACTTTTGTTATGATTGTGATTTTTTTGAAAGGTTAAATTCTAAAAAAAGTAAATTAAACAAAAAAAATCACTATGCTGCTGCATTTTTTTTTTTTCCAAAACAGGCATCAGGACATGTGTCAGTGGAAATAAATATTTTCACATTTTCACACTTAGCACTGCTTTTGTGCTTAATATTTAATCTACTCACTGGAGCACAAATCATTGCTAGAACTTGCATCCGTAGATGATTAGAATGAATGACAATCTGGGTATGATATTACGACTGGACAATATTTCTAAGTTATAACTTTTTACTTACAATGTCTGGTTCCATGCCTTGAGCAATCCGGGCTCTAACAAAATCTACAACTTCCTGGCTAGTAAGAACATCCCAGATACCATCACAGGCTAAGACAATGAACTCGTGGTCTGGTGTGATACGGTTCTCAATCACATCGGGATATGCTAGTGAAATATAAGATCAAGCATTTTCAACAAAATGCAATCCCTACATTACTTTCTTTTTAAGATTTTCAGAGAAGGTGAGCTAAAATGTTTGGTGAAATAGACTTAACAATGCTGTTAGTTGATGTAGATTCAAAATATCTGATGAATACATTTGTAGCGAAACGATAAAATATTCTTAAAAATACAAATCATAGCAATATTGCTTTGATTTCCAGCCGATATCCAGGATATCAGATATTTATATTTGCAGTGAAACGATAAACACACATGTACTCATATACCACGTATAGTGATGTTGATCCAATTCTCACCTGTAACTATCTGTTCCTCTGGACCTTTTTTTTCATTTTTCTTAAACACAAAATCACCCAGTGCTCTAGAAAGTGCTAAATTACCTGTTAATAAAACAAATCAATTTCTGTTAAAAAACTTCAAATGATCATGAATTCAAACATCAAACAAATCTGATGAAAAGGAGAGTGGACATCATTTTACTGGTAATTAGTATGTTTGACTTCATCCAGAAATAAGCAAATTCTGTATACACATTTTGATAATATCTGCATACTATTTTTTCTATTTCCAATTGATCTGATATGTCTTATTCTCCAAATTTCAAATATATATTACTAGTAATAATGGTTGTCCAAATGTACAACCTGATCATGCAACAATTTTCATAGTTGTTTTTCATTACCAGTACACATATGGTATTTTCTCTTTATAATGTCAATTTTTTGCTGTATTGATAAACCTTAGCTTCACAACAACACTCTTTAAATATTGCTCTCTTCCTCGTTAAAGACAATTTATTTATGTATTATCTTTTTGGTCTTGCAGTCAACACTGTAATTTCTAAATATCAGTTCTAACAATTTCTAAACTTGTAGTGCAATATTCTATAGTAGAATCCACAGTTACTTCTCATTCAAGCATTACCATTCAAATTTTCAAGTTATAGATCAAACATAACTTGCTACCAATAAATTCAGTATTACATGTGCTATTTGCCAACATCTATTACTGACATGCCATTAGCTTGAATGAATAGAGGTGATAATCTCATGAATCATAGGTGTTCAAAAACTGTGATGATAATAAAAAGCGCACCATTCACTCTATTAAACTCTACCCATCCTCCAGCAGAAATGATCCTCTTGGTTTCAGATTCATTGCCTGGTTTGTGGTCATGTGACAGTTGTTCTGCTGTACCTTTTATGCTAACTACAGCACGGGAGTCTCCAACATTACCCTACAAGGATATGGATGTAGTTGGTAGACACAATTCATCAATCAGAGAGATATTTTTCCTTATTCTGTAGATCATTTCCAGTTTCACTAAGCAGCAAATTTGACATAACAGTATACCAGCTCAAATTGTCTTCAGCCGATACAAAGACATTCAATCTTATGATGAACTGAGGACTAATAAATTATGACAGTCCTAATAAGTGATGTTACCAATACAGACCATGCCTCAGAGTCTAAATTAGTAAACCTGTGCTTCATTCTTCAGTTAACAAGACGATCAGGTAAATCTCATCAAAGGATAATCTAACAGGGAGAATACATGAGATCGAAGTAGGATCTTGGCACCATCATTGTATAATCTTTATTTGTTATATAGTTTAATCTTTTCCTTTCTTTTCTCTAACTTATTCCTGTCGATAACTTTCTATTATCTCAACTGTTGTAATACTTACACAGTAGATGGTATTGCCTTTGAATATTGTTATCACAGCTGTTGTTCCTGCTAGCTCATCTTTCATGGCTTCATCTGCAGTAATATGATACAAAGTATTTTTCATCACTTACACACATATATATGTCCTATAATACATGTACTTGAAGGGTCTTCAACAGAATAATTATTAATATTTATAATCATTTAATCTGTCTATATTTCAGTTTTTATTTCTGATTTGCCTCAGTTGGTTTTTGTTTTAAATATCAGACATATTACCTCAATTTTAACATAGCTGTCATTAGATGTAGCCATTTGTTTCCAAGCAGAAATCGGACTTTCTTGAGAATGATTATTTTTCATACATTTTCCAGTGAAACAAACCTTTGATCATTTCTTCATCCAGTCCTAGAAAGCCCTGTCGAATTGCTTCAGGCACATTTCCCTGAGCTAAATTGATATAACAAGTTTAATGAAAATAGAGTGATGGTCTAAGAATAAACAGATTGCTTGATTGTAACATTCTCACTGCCTTGTTTTATGTCATATCAAGTATATATGGTGTCTATGTTCATTTTGTAGCAGCATAAGGTGGTATAATCTGGACATACAGTAGCAACATGACACTACACCCAACAATGTACCAACAACAGCCTACCAAGTAGAGATACAATGTACCAACAACAGCCTACCAAGTAGAGATACAATGTACCAACAACAGGCTACCAAGTAGAGATACAATGTACCAACGACAGCCTACCAAGTAGAGATACAATGTACCAACAACAGCCTACCAAGTAGAGATACAATGTACCAACAACAGCCTACCAGGTAGAGATACAATGTACCAACAACAGCCTACCAAGTAGAGATACAATGTACCAACAACAGGCTACCAAGTAGAGATACAATGTACCAACAACAGCCTACCAAGTAGAGATACAATGTACCAACAACAGCCTACCAAGTAGAGATACAATGTACCAACAACAGCCTACCAAGTAGAGATACAATGTACCAACAACAGCCTACCAAGTAGAGATACAATGTACCAACAACAGCCTACCAAGTAGAGATACAATGTACCAACAACAGCCTACCAAGTAGAGATACAATGTACCAACAACAGCCTACCAAGTAGAGATACAATGTACCAACAACAGCCTACCAAGTAGAGATACAATGTACCAACAACAGCCTACCAAGTAGAGATACAATGTACCAACAACAGCCTACCAAGTAGAGATACAATGTACCAACAACAGCCTACCAAGTAGAGATACAATGTACCAACAACAGCCTACCAAGTAGAGATACAATGTACCAACAACAGCCTACCAAGTAGAGATACAATGTACCAACAACAGCCTACCAAGTAGAGGCACAATGTACCAACAACAGCCTACCAAGTAGAGATACAATGTACCAACAACAGCCTACCAAGTAGAGAAACAATGTACCAACAACAGCCTACCAAGTAGAGATACAATGTACCAACAACAGCCTACCAAGTAGAGGCACAATGTACCAACAACAGCCTACCAAGTAGAGATACAATGTACCAACAACAGCCTACCAAGTAGAGAAACAATGTACCAACAACAGCCTACCAAGTAGAGATACAATGTATCAACAACAGCCTACCAAGTAGAGATACAATGTACCAACAACAGCCTACCAAGTAGAGAAACAATGTACCAACAACAGCCTACCAAGTAGAGATACAATGTACCAACAACAGCCTACCAAGTAGAGGCACAATGTACCAACAACAGCCTACCAAGTAGAGATACAATGTACCAACAACAGCCTACCAAGTAGAGATACAATGTACCAACAACAGCCTACCAAGTAGAGATACAATTACTAAATGCTGAAAATCATTTAGCAACAAACTATCTATGAATCAAACTTTGATGATTTGAATTTCTCGAGGTATCAAAGTTTTTGTCTGTTACCAAATTTTATTTCTAAATATTACTACTAACTTACCCCTTTACAATTTTAACTTTTCGATGTATTGAAGTTTTTTCATGGACCGTAAGCTATAGTAACACAGTCAATGATACCTCATGATTGGAACAAATCATTTAACCGTATTGTACAGGTATTTTCTCCCCGCGAAAAAATTTCACACATTTCTTCAATGAGGAGTGCTACCTGACAACAGGATTACCATATCCCTCTATCATTGGCTCTGTGTAACGAGGTTAATCATTGACTGGACACAGATTAAAATTTAATTGTTTACTTACAAGCTATGATATTTTAATAAAAGATAATGGGATGTTGTGTGATGTTTACCGTTGATATTGGGGTAATGGCATTTAGTTACGTCTTATTTACAGAATTTTGAAAACAATCTGTGGAAATCCTATCAGTTGTATGATTTCATTCATTCATTCCCAAAGCATCACTTTTCAATTTTAAGCACAAAAGCATGTGAAACACAGTGATATATTTGTCAATCATGCATTCTCTCATTGTACCAACTCTTCATCAGAACATCTGCAAACACTTTTGTAATTTCTATGACCGAAGAGGTGTGATGTTAATGCTGTCGTTTCTGAACAGAATACATTATGATATCAATTTTCTTCCTTTTATATTCATTAGTGCCTATAATGTTTATTTATCAGTTTTTAAAAAAAATGGGGCAAAGCCACAATTGGCCGCATTGTGGGATGAGTGCAATGTTATATGGTATTTATAAGACAGTTAAGGGCGTTTCATTTGTTGAGTATGTAGAATATTTGTTATAAGAGAGAAAGTTTGGTTGTATTTTATGAATTGGTCAGAAGAAGGGCATTTGAAGATTCAGAAATGTTCAAAAAATAGACAATGGACATTTAGGGCCCCAAGGTGATTTATATGAAAGGCAAAGGCTGCCACCTTGGATACAGACTGTTGAAAATGACTAAGTTCCAAAGCCCGGAAAATCAAGAAACGATATCCGGAATGAATCCATAATAAAAGGTGCACATCTTGAACATGTATATGTAAACATGCTACAAAGTTTCAAGCTTCTACATCAAAAACTCAAGGAGTTGATTCTACAAAACTAATATCCCTTTTCTCTGCCAAACTGCAGAAAATTACTAAGTTCCAAAGCCCGGAATCCAGAAAAATGTCCGGAATGTATCCATAACAGAAGGTGCACACCTTCAACATATATTTAAACCTCATATTAAAATTCTTAAACCTCATATAAAAATTCAAGCTTCTACATCAAAATCTCTAGGAGGAGTTGATTCTACAAAACTGGTACCCCTTTTCCCCACCTGCCCTCCCATCCGCCTGATATTCACCACACTATAACCTGGATTTGCACTATGTGCAACCCGGCCAATAATTACTGTAACACTTGAAGACCACTTTAATGCTTTGCATCGTTTAAGTTCAAATCAATTTGTAAAATACATAAACTGTGTGAAATGAAAGCACAAATGTCAGCATGCATTTCTATTTCTATCTAAAGTATGTGCTTTTGATCATGAATGGAAATGTTTTTGTTTTAAGATAAAAATGCATCGTTTTTATTTAAATTTTGGTATTTGTTGCATTTGTTCAGGTAGAAATATTGTGTCATTAACTTCATAAAAGCATGGAAACGTTGAATGAATCACAGTCTTGATTTATTAAAGTTCTTTTGGTAGTCCCTTGAACCTCGAAACATCGAAGTTTGACTGTACTTACAGTATAATCCCACACACTGATATGAAACATGCTTGTATACAAACCAGTTTTTCTATGATGATATTAATACTTACAATAAGCTGGATGTGACACAATTTTCTTATGAAGATTGATCCCTGCATATTGAGCTATTTTGGCACCTACAAAGCATAAATTGAAGCATCAAGTTCAATGTTTGATACAGAACAACTATTTTCCTTTATTTTCCCAAAATGATCTGCGGAAATGGATATAAGAGTGACATAAATGCAAAGTTTATATTTTGAAAGGAAGCTAAAGAGTTTGCTGTTGATCATTTCCAAAGTATCTTCTCAACATTTAATTTGTTTGAATGCATCAAAAAATAACATTCTATCATCCCTAATAAATATAAAGACAAAAGTAACAAGAGATCCATGAAGGATCTTTGCATCATCATTTGATCTTTATTTGTTCTTCAACAGTTCAATCTTTTCCTTTCCTTCCTCGTGTTTTTGTTCTTAACTATACAATATCTTAAGAAATTATCTTCAACTATCAAATCCAAACTGATCACCTTTCTGTCAATCTGTTTTCTGATCAGTCCCTACAAGTTAAGGTTACAACTAGGGACAAAAAGGAATCTACAGGTGAAACTTGAAAAAGATCCTCTAATTACTTATCAAAAATAATGATAACAAACTTTCACTGTCAAAATCCAAGATAATGGCCGGTTAGCCATTTTGGTTATCTGATCAATCCAACAGGAGATCCCAGAGGCATCTTGGCTCCCATCATTGTTTGATCTTTATATGCTTTTTGAAAGTTGGATCTTTTCCCTCCTCTGCTTTTGCTCTTAATAATAAGACATTTGAACATTCCTTTGCAGAAATAGCGATGTTAATCTTTACCTGCCAAATCCAAACTGGCCACTTGGAAGCCATTTTGTTTTTTTCTGATCAATCCCAAAATCAAATTTGTACAAGGAGAGACCAAAGGGAAAAAACATGAAATTTGAGAGATATCCATGTAGTACTTCTCAAGAATAGCAATAGCAATCTTTACTAGGAAAATCCAAGATGACTGCCTGTCAGCCATTTTGTTTTTCTGATCAGTCCCAAACTCTTAACAGGCACAACAAGGGATTGAAAGGAACATATACAAGAAATTTGAGAAAGATCTATAGCGTAGTTTCCAAGAAATAGTGAAAACAAACTTTTGACATCAAAATCCAAGATGGCAACTTCTGGGCAATTTTGTATTTTCTGATCAGTCCTAAAATCAAACAGGAACAACTAAAGATCAAGGAAAGCATACACATGAAATTTGAGAAAGATCTGTGCTGTAGTTCTCAAGAAATTGCGATAACAAACTTTGAAGGTCAAAATTTAAGATTTCCTTCTGTCAGCAATTCTGATAAATCCCAAAATTATATGGACACAACTAAAGACTAATAGGAACCTACAAATGAAATCTGAGAGATCTATCAAGTACTTCTCAAGAAATAGCGATAACAAACTTTCAAAGTCAAAATCCAAGATGGCCACCTTTCTGCCATTTCATTTTTTTGGTCAGTTCCAAAATTACATGGACAACAAGAAACCAAGGTGAACATACATATGCAATCTGAGAAAGATCCATCCAGTACTTCTAAAGAAATAGTGATATAAAAAAAAGCTAATTCAATTGTTGTGTTCATGTATATAATTTCCATTTAAATTTCAGAGCAGATGCTTATTTTCTTTATTTACAACCTTTTATTATTGATATCATCTATATGTGTAAATCAGAATTTACCTCCATGACCATCAAATACCCCGAAGAACTGAGCATCCTTATCACCTGGCAGTGACAAAAGGTGTGTATGGGCATCCTCCATATCTGTATACAGTCAAGGACTTTCTTCTAACTTCATGATCAAAAGCGCATGTTATTAATTTAAAAATTTATGGGGTTGCATTATCTATGTGCTCTTCCATTCTTGTTTAGCGACCAAGACAAGAAAAAATAGAGGATTGATTGTCTGAATCTTTCAAACTAGATTGGCCTGGATAATAAAAACATTTTTGGTTGGGAGGTCTATCTGCTTGCTGGGCAAGAAAAACAGGCCAAAGTCATGAATTCACAAAATGTATCTGGGTATCTTGCTGCAATTTTCTTAGGTTACAACTATTTTTTAAACCTACTGTCATCATAATAAAATCACAACATTGACTTATCTATAGATTTAAAGAGATAATCCTGGCAAATTAGGATAATGATTTTGTTTGCTCTATTCAGGTATTTGTACATAAGTATGTTCTTACAGAAGTTATGCCTCAATCTGACAAATAAAAAAAAAAAACTATGATAATTCATTTTCAGAAAACATATTGATTATAGCAATCTAGATCTTTGCCCTGATTGTGTCACAAAATGTTCAAACCTGCACAATGCAGTGGAAAGAAACATGTATACAGCCCCCAGCCCCTGGTTGTTTTCTAGTTTATTAATAGCATTGCTCCTGCTTAGATTCTACATCATTCTTCTAGTTTCATTTCCAAAATCAATGCATGATTGATGTGCTACTGTATGTTTGGGAAGTCTAATTTTAAGTCAGCCATTGGGTACTTCATTCATTGTTTGTCCTCATCAATCTAAACACAGGAGATTGGTTCTTAAATGGTACAGAACATCCAGAAATTTGCTACTTGTTTACAATATCCCATTAATTTAAAAATTACTGATGTTAGGATCTCAAATTTTCTACATGATAGAAATTAATCAGGAACATGCTAATCTTATAATATATGGCATTTTGGTATTAATTTGAAAAAACCATTAACTTACAGTAGGACAGATGATAAAATTGACCTTTCCTTGTGTTGTTTTGAAACAGGTTTTGTTTCCATCAAGATAAAAGGATACTTATTCTCCATCCCTGCATACATGAAGAACCAACTTTTAAGAACTGGTTCTGACAGCTGGAGGTTTCCTTGGTAGTAACAGGTTCAGACAAAGTCTGACCCATACTTCATCTGCCAAAATAATAAAAATCAATAAACTCAGCCAGGTACAAGTATAAGATGTATGACAGATTTTCGTTCTATCTGTGCATATCATTGATAAGTTTTCAAAATGTAAATCAACAGATATATGCAAGTTATTTATTTTGCAGTGTAAACATTTCTGGACAAATAATGAAAAATAATCACAGTAAACATTTGTTCAAAGGGGGTCAGACCATATTCGCGATTTTAGTTTTGAATTGGTCGCAAATGATCGACGGTGACCATGGCAAAAATAAGACGTGGACTCTTTGAAAGTTTTCTGGGTAGCAAAACAGAAAGAAATATTCTTTCATATGTTACACATCTGAAAAGAATATTTAACGCCTTTTCCAAGCAGGGAGCTTCTATTGACATTCCTGCATACATGTATCTGATGATTAAGATCATTTAGATTTCAGATTCATAAATGCTTGATAACATTGAAATTGAGAGGCACAATGGAACTCCAAAGCGATCACCTAATCTCCACATTTATGAGAGTCCAATGTGAATATGACAGGACTAAGTATATACAACGTCACTTAAGTAAGCACACCATAACATTAAGTATGTAAATAACAATTTACATGTTCGTTATCGGCATCAAACATGTCAGAAATCGACTGGCAGCGATACCAAATTTATTTGACGGATCGAGATGAATGCAACAATTTCACAAAATTCCAATCATCTTTCGTTGGCAATAAATGATCTTATGGAATATGAATGCGACAGTAAAACATACTTAAGAAATAAGATTCCTCTAATCTTCACGAAATTCCTCTCATAGGTTTTAGAAATATATGGTTTCCGTATCGTGACCTTACAACTGAATGACCATAACAAAGTTCATCCGCAGAAAAAAATAGTTTGTAAATAATGATACATTATAGAATCCTATGAAATATCTTTGTGATAAATTGAGTCAGAACATGTATAAAGTACGTATATGGTGATATAGCAAAATGGTATATACTGATATTTCATTTTTACTTGGCAATTGATACAACGCGCAAGGATAATTAACGGAAGTTACCGTTTCTGCGGAGTAGCAGAAAACAATCCGGAAATGACCTTCTGTGAACGCAAAGGCACGGTGTAAAGTTATGATATGCGGAAAACCGTGATGATGTGGATTGTTTGTGCTCATGTCGTAGCACATCATACTCTTCAGCCTAATGTGAATAATGGCAGAGCTATCTTGAGCAAGAGTAGTATTATAACTGATGTATTTCATTGCGGTAAACAAACGTGACAACATGTCTGGCAACAATAATAATTTAACCTCAAGTTTAAGGAACTCTCCCTTCCTTGAATATTGTATTTATTGTGTTCCTGTCTAGTTCGTGGTGTTTTGTTTGTTCTAGTTTATCCCTTTGGACAATCTCTGTATGATCGTAACCGAGTAGACTCGTTTAGTCAAACTCAATGTCTGTACACGTAATGAAGCGTCATGGTGAGCGAGACTATTTGTTGCTTTGTCCGTCATGTTCCTATCTTCTATTGACGCAGGCTATTTTTTTCTCTCCACGTGTTATCTTTAGTGCTTGCTACGGGAGCAAATAAAGTTCTTTCTGCTGTTATCGCCACCAGTCAAAAACGTCTGAATATATAACCTTAAATATCACAAGTTGGTTTTCGCGTGCGAGCGCGAAAAAAAAAAATAATAATAATAATAATGAATGCCAATAGAATCATAACCCCCACGTAAACCTTGGTCATTCCAAGTAAGTGATGCCACGTTCTCAAATGGGAATAAAGTATACAACAACGGAACTAACAAGCAAACTAACGAACATTAAACACGCCCAGCTTCATATAGCACAAAGACAAAAAAATATTCTCAACGAGATCACTGAAACTTCCTCATAATTTCCATCAACCTGCACCTCTCGAAACACTGTGTTGTGAGCTTGTCTGTTACTTGGCAACTTCTTGCACGGAAACTCAATGATAAGGATACGCCCCATTTCTCGTTTGTCTAGTTTTATTGGAATTGAGTTTGAATTATGTTGGTATTTTGTTGATTATTTATTAACTTCTTCGGTGAAAAAGAACTCTGATCTTCTCACATAGACAGTATAACTTGTGACCAATATCTTCAATCGGCCGATATTAACAGTTCAGATGAAAAGGCATTCCTGCATTGTAATGATAAAGACAATTGCCATCCTGATTAAGGAACTAATTAATATGCCTAATCAATCAGGGAAAGGAGATAGTCTTCTTTAAATAACTTTGATATAAGACCTAAGGCATTAGATATAGTTGATGAATTAGATTCTACAAGTCTTCAGTTAAGTGACCCCACATCGGAAGCCTCACATTCTCAGTCATGTTTTGAAATGTTTGGAAAGACTTATATTTTACCAGAATCACAGAAGGAGGCGTGTAGTGTTTTACTTAAAAAAAAGACTATACCTTGATTATTCTCGGGTTCGGACAATGGATATGAGCAAATTTCAACTCTCACTCCTTCGGACTTCACTGTATACTGTATTACACATTTATCACGATGGGCTTATGGGAGGACATGGCGGCATTAGTGACACTTGCGTGCAACACTTTTGATCTCTGATCGTGGAAAAGAAATTACAGGAAAGGTTACAAGGGAGGAGGTCTTGTCGTCAGTGATTTTCGCAATGAAGATGTCGTTGAATGGTTCGAATGATTATGATGTGTCATTCGGACAACGACCTAAATATCCGCTCTCTAGTCATACCATCCGCTTGACTTCAATATCTTGCCCATAAATTATAAAATTATGAGGACTTAAGCAAAACGACTGGCGAATGCAAACACTAAGGTTCTTGTACTCTCCGAACACGACTATATCCTACACAAGCCATAAACTGGTGTCGGTCAGAAGTTGAAGTATCAAAATTCACCCTTTTCACTTGGTGATTTTGTTAAATCCTATTAACAAACACACTTTCCAGCACCTACTTACGCGAACAGGATGAAAGTCGCGTATATCCGTCAGCCAAAACAAGACTCAATTTTTACAGTCGCCAAAATCGAACCGGTCAGTGGCAACGGAGGAAGTTGGTGATCAGATGACAGGCGTTCATAGAGGAGAGTTCTTCACAGAGTCTGATTCTTTAAAACGTCTTTTTAACTCTCATCCAGTATCAGATAGTGACAATTGTTCAGAGTTCAACTAAAAATTCTTCAATTGTTTGTCCATCTCGTGTTCGTCAGAGGTCTCAACGATTCTACGATAGCAATCGTATGACCATTTTATCAGATACCTTTTCATCGTTTTCCTCTGTTTACATGTTTTTACTATGACAAAATAGTCATAGTCAGTAGTTTTAATATGTCGCTGTTGATTCGATGTTCACGGGTTGCTTCCATTATCACGAATTTCGTGCTTAAAGTTGTCAATTGACGTACAAATTCGTAACACATGGTTTCAAAAGATATAGGTTGATGTTCGCGTGTTTGTGTGTGTGTTGTGTGTGTGTGTGTGTGTGTGAGAGAGAGAGAGAGAGAGAGAGAGTATTAGTAGTAGTAGTAGTAGTAGTAGTATATACACACATGCTTTTCATGTAAACCATCCACGTGTACCTTTTTTGAGTATATGATTTGTCTCCCGTCTAGAACGGTTTTGTATAAAGGACGTGTGTGTGTTATCGTAAAGTTGTATGACTCACCGACAAGCGAGATCATTTCACCATTGACCTTCACTCTTAACACTGATAACGATAATATCACATTAAATAGCGAAATAGATTGAATTATAAATGAGGTCACGACGCCTTTATCAATCCCAAACCCTAACACTTTGTCACTAAAATAGCAAAGCATTTTTTAAATCTTTCAGACCAGTGTTGCAACAATGGTCAGGTTTTCCCATTTTGTATATGCCTCGCCTAGAGAAGGACTAAGATCCTTTTTGAGAAACCTTGCATTCCAAATATGGTATGTATATGTAGTTGATACTATATTTGTCCTTAGTAAATGATGACCATAAAAGGATATGTACCTTTAACAACGGTGACGAATGGGATATTTTGAGAAGTGACAATTTCTGATAAAGTGCTGTTAGTCCAGATGTTGTACTATATAAGGTAAGATACGGGAATAAAATATTAATTGACATCTAGTAAGGACCACGAGTACATGGTACAGAAAATACCACCGCGATACAGCATACCCAATATGTGTATCAACTGTATATAAATAGTAACATGCAAACGTGTACAGTCGAGGTCAATATTGAGGACCACATAACAGACAAAACCCTCTGTCAACTCGGGTAAAGACTTGACAAACCCGGCAATCAGCTCCAGATAAATTAGTTTCTGTGGACTGTCGAAAACAATTGCAGACGACAACGAGTAAGTATGTATAAAATGTAGCAGGTATATTTGACAAATGCAAGCTTTCGGTTTTCAATAGCATGCATGTGTAGCCGTTGTAAGTAGATTCTAGTTACATTGTGGAAGTCGAACTTCCGCAAAGACAGGATTATATATAGTCATATAGATTTTGACTTTATACCTGGTGCAGGTTTCGTACCTAATAAAATTAGGATAGACTCGCTACAATACCTAATTGTGTTTTCTGATGAGTTTTGATCAAGGCTTTCGAAGCCTATTGACTTGAAATATTAAGAAGTAGGTTGTCCGTATCAACGAACAGGGCCCAAAGATCTCTTCGCAAATATTGTGGACTTATAAAATGTCTCTCGTTAAAGGTAAGAAAAAATATATCTATGTTGTTGCACCCGTGTTTAGTTTTATGTATGTATCTTTACGACTGCTATCCACCTGAAATTCAAGGAAGCATTGTTATAAATTGTTTTTGGCTGTATTGCTGATTAGTTTATGTTGCGTTACTAGGTGTAAAACCATTTGCATGATAAACGGGCTTTGCATCCCTTGTCGATCGTCGACATTTTTTTTATATGTTTAGGACCATAAATGATTTACTAGACGGTACTACGAGGGCTTATTGAGAAGTTGTGGGCATTGTATTGAAGAATTGAAGTAGGGATGTCCGTTTTCAACTCTACTATTCTTTGACTGTTTAAGACTATACGCCCGAAGACTGGTGTCATTCTGTCAGTTTATGTCGAGGAGGTAGCACTCTAAAGTAAACAAGACAAGTGCCTTTTGCTAAATAGGCAAAATCGCAGAGAGAGTTGTGATTCAATATTTGCATAAGAAAGGTCTATCAGCTAAGAATATCCATACTGAAATGTAAGCAACGCTAGTGAATGATTCCCCTTCAGATGCCACACCAAGTAGGTGGATCGGAATTTAAGCGTGGCATACAGAGCTTTGGGGATGACGCCTGTCGTGGAAGGCCTGTTACTGTTATAACGTTAGAAAAGATGCACCGGCAATAGGCTTAAAACCAGGACGAAATCACCACCATTTCATTCGCACTGTTCATATATTGCCCTGGTTTTATTGAATCTGAGTTTGAATTGTGATTATGTTGAGATGTTGGTATTTTCTTGAGGTTTTTTGGCCCACCTTTATCTTCTGTGATCTTTACCTTTTTCACAGGCTTTTGTCTTATACAGCACCATTTTCCCTGGATACCCCAGCCTTTATGTGGCCATATGTTTCGAATCATCTCGAATGAATATAACGTTAGAAAATATGCATCGGCGATAGACTTAAAAATCATAACATAATCACCACCATTTCATTCGCACATCACAGTCATTACCATCCAGATACGTGTCTATAGGGATGTGTACAACACATCAAGAAGTGGAAAGCCTAAAGTAAAGGTTGAAATGGCTTGTCATTACAGGGTGAAGATCATCAGATCAGCAGAAAAATGTTGGTGTTAGGATTGGTGGATATTCCTTTATGGGGCCAGCTCCTCATTCTGTTTGTTGCTATGATAGTAGCATACCTCACGTAAGTAGTATAAGTCGAAAGGATGTTGTGAGAAGTGGATAGACCCCCTATGTTATATAACTATTATAGATCTAGAGTGTTGGGAGAGGTGGATAGACCCCCTGTGTTATATATCTATTATAGATCTAGAGTGTTGTGAGAGGTGGATAGACCCCTATGTTATATAACTATTATAGATCTAGAGTGTTGACGGAGGAGGATAGACCCCCTGTGTTATATATCTATTATAGACCTAGGGTGTTGGGAGAGGTGGATAGACCCCTATGTTATATAACTATTATAGATCTAGAGTGTTATGAGAGGTGGATAGACCCCTATGTTATATAACTATTATAGATCTAGAGTGTTATGAGAGGTGGATAGACCCCATATGTTATATATCTATTATAGACCTAGAGTGTTGGGAAAGGTGGATAGACCCCTATGTTATATATCTATTATAGATCTAGAGTGTTGGGAGAGGTGGATAGACCCCTATATTATATAACTATTATAGACCTAGAGTGTTGTGAGAGGTGGATAGACCCCCTATGTTATATATCTGTTATAGATCTAGAGTGTTGAGAGAGGTGGATAGACTCCCTATGTTATATAACTTTCATAGATCTAGAGTGTTGTGAGAGGTGAATAGACCCCCTATGTTATATAACTTTTATAGACCTAGAGAGTTGGGAGAGGTGGATAGACCCCCTATGTTATATAACTGTTATAGATCTAGAGTGTTGGGAGAGGTGGATATACCCCCTATGTTATATACCTATTATAGATCTAGAGTGTTGGAAGAGGTGGATAGACCCCCTATGTTATATATCTATTATAGATCTAGAGTGTTGTGAGAGGTGGATAGACCCCCCCCCCCCCCTATGTTATATAACTATTATAGATCAACAGTAGATCTAGAGTGTTGTGAGAGGTGGATAGACCCCCTATGTATATATCTATTATAGATCTAGAGCGTTGGGAGTGGTGGATAGACCCCCTATGTTATATATCTATTATAGACCTAGAGTGTTGGGAGAGGTGGATAGACCCCCTATGTATATATCTATTATAGATCTAGAGTGTTGGGAGAGGTGGATAGACCCCCTATGTTATATTTCTATCATAGATCTAGAGTGTTGTGAGAGGTGGATAGACCCCCTATGTTATATAACTATTATAGATCTAGAGTGTTGGGAGAGGTGGATAGACCCCCTATGTTATATTTCTATCATAGATCTAGAGTGTTGTGAGAGGTGGATAGACCCCCTATGTTATATAACTATTATAGATCTAGAGTGTTGGGAGAGGTGGATAGACCCCCTATCTTATATACCTATTATAGATCTAGAGTGTTGGGAGAGGTGGATAGACCCCCTATGTTATATTTCTATCATAGATCTAGAGTGTTGTGAGAGGTGGATAGACCCCCTATGTTATATAACTATTATAGATCTAGAGTGTTGGGAGAGGTGGATAGACCCCCTATGTTATATACCTATTATAGATCTAGAGTGTTGGGAGAGGTGGATAGACCCCTATGTTATATAACTATTATAGATCTAGAGTGTTGAGGGAGGAGATAGACCCCCTGTGTTATATATCTATTATAGATCTAGAGTGTTGGGAGAGGTGGATAGACCCCTATGTTATATAACTATTATAGACCTAGAGTGTTGTGAGAGGTGGATAGACCCCCTATGTTATATATCTGTTATAGATCTAGAGTGTTGAGAGAGGTGGATAGACTCCCTATGTTATATAACTTTCATAGATCTAGAGTGTTGTGAGAGGTGGATAGACCCCCTATGTTATATCACTTTTATAGACCTAGAGAGTTGGGAGAGGTGGATAGACCCCCTATGTTATATAACTGTTATAGATCTAGAGTGTTGGGAGAGGTGGATATACCCCCTATGTTATATACCTATTATAGATCTAGAGTGTTGGGAGAGGTGGATAGACCCCCTATGTTATATATCTATTATAGATCTAGAGTGTTGTGAGAGGTGGATAGACCCCCCCCCCTATGTTATATAACTATTATCGATCAACAGTAGATCTAGAGTGTTGTGAGAGGTGGATAGACCCCCTATGTATATATCTATTATAGATCTAGAGCGTTGGGAGTGGTGGATAGACCCCCTATGTTATATATCTATTATAGACCTAGAGTGTTGGGAGAGGTGGATAGACCCCTATGTTATATTTCTATCATAGATCTAGAGTGTTGGGAGAGGTGGATAGACCCCCTATGTTATATAACTATTATAGATCTAGAGTGTTGGGAGAGGTAGATAGACCCCCTATGGTATATAACTATTATAGATCTAGAGTGTTGGGAGAGGTGGATAGACCCCCTATGGTATATAACTATCATAGATCTAGAGTGTTGGGAGAGGTGGATAGACCCCCTATGGTATATAACTATTATAGATCTAGAGTGTTGTGAGAGGTGTATAGACCCCTATGTTATATATCTATTATAGATCTAGAGTGTTGGGAGAGGTAGATAGACCCCCTATGGTATATATCTATTATAGATCTAGAGTGTTGGGAGAGGTGGATAGACCCCCTATGTTATATAACTATTATAGATCTAGAGTGTTGGGAGAGGTGGATAGACCCCCTATGTTATATACCTATTATAGATCTAGAGTGTTGGGAGAGGTGGATAGACCCCTATGTTATATAACTATTATAGATCTAGAGTGTTGAGGGAGGAGGATAGACCCCCTATGTTATATATCTATTATAGATCTAGAGTGTTGGGAGAGGTGGATAGACCCCCCAATGTTATATATCTATCATAGATCTAGAGTGTTGAGGGAGGAGGATAGGCCCCCTATGTTATATAACTAGTATTCATCTATTGTGTTTTGAGAGGTGGATAGACCACTATGTTATATAACTATTTTAAATCTAGAGTGTTGGGAGTGGTGGATAGACTCCCTATGTTATATAACTATTTTAGATCTAGAGTGTTGGGAGTGGTGGATAGACTCCCTATGTTATATAACTAGTATTTATCTATTGTGTTTTGAGAGGTGGATAGACCACTATGTTATATATCTATTAAAGACTAGAGTGTTGTGAGAGGTGGATAGACCCCTATGTTATATAACTATTATAGATCTAGAGTGTTGGGAGTGGTGGATAGACTCCCTATGTTATATAACTAGTATTTATCTATTGTGTTTTGAGAGGTGGATAGACCACTATGTTATATATCTATTAAAGACTAGAGTGTTGTGAGAGGTGGATAGACCCCTATGTTATATAACTATTATAGATCTAGAGTGTTGGGAGTGGTGGATAGACCCCCTATGTTATATAACTATTACATATTTAGAGTGTTGGGAACCGTGGATATACCCAAATGTTATATATCTATTATAGACCTAGAGCGTTGAGAGAGGTGGATAGACCCCAATGTTATATATCTATCCTAGATCTAGAGTGTTGAGGGAGGAGGATATACCCCCTGTGTTATATATCTATTATAGATCTAGAGTGTTGGGAGAGGTGGATAGACCCCCTATGTTATATAACTATTATAGATCTAGAGTGTTGGGAGAGGTGGATAGACCCTTTATGTTATATGCCTTGTACAGACTATGTAGCTATATGAAATCATGTTTGTACAAATAATAAGTTGATATGACACGATATCATGATTGTGCATATGTAAGGTATATTTAACACGCTATATTTGTACAGATGGTATGTATGTTTGACACGATGTCAATTATCTATTGTTCAGTATGTTGATTTACGTTAGGAAAGTGTTTACATATTAATATGATATTTTATCGTACCCTTTCATGTCCGGTCTGTAGATGAAGAGGCTATGTTTTTTTTTCAAATATCAATTGTGTCATATCCATTACATATATAGTAATGACACGCATGCTTTGGTTACCGTTTATGCGATAAAATTATTTGTAGGTACATGTCCTGGGATTACAATATCTTCAAAAAGATGGGCCTGGATGGTCCAAAACCTTCCTATATCTTGGGAAATTTGGGGCTATTTATGAAAGAGGTTTGTATCTATCTACAAATGTAAGAGAAAAATTGTCCTGTTTTATAATTTAACATTTACAAAAAATAAAACAGTTTATTTTTAACCCGAACATTACTTGTCTATGAGAATATATAAGATACGTCTAAGACTATCTAATACTAGTGGAATAGTGCAAATGTAAAATAGTCCGTTTCTTACGTGCATTGGACTATAAAACCAATTGTTTTGACTTAGTGTAATCCCTATTCAGCTGTAAAATTAATCGACATTTCTTTTCGGCTTCACGTAACAATTTTGAGTGACTTTATTACAGGGAGCGGTCAAGGCTGAGGTTGACCTTTGCAGAAAGTATGGCAAAATGTTTGGGTAAGTGAAATAAACAGTACAACTTGTGCATCCCCGAATATCAAAGAGCAATTTGAAAAAGAAATTAAATACGGTTATCAACAAAATAGTCCTGTAAAACTTTATTTTTTTAAAATAAAATCTTTATTAACCTCTCCTTTTATGAATAGTAATGATTATATTTTTCTCCTCCACCAGGACTTTTGAAGGGAAATTTCCTACCCTGTATATTGCTGACCCGAAATTGATAAAAGACGTTTTAGTCAAAGATTTCAACAGTTTTGTCAATAGGAGGGTTTGTACAATCAATTTGCGTTGGCATAATTAGTAATGTGTTTAAAGTTGCAATATCTGGTGCAGTAATAAGAACAGATAAATAAAGAATAGGCGAAGGTCATTGTGAGCAACTATTTATGGAATACAAAGAAAGAGGCGGCCATTTTCAATTCCTGTACGAGTTGTTAGTAAGTAGTATAAAAAGTATTATTCATGGAATCTCTGAAATAAAAAAAATCGATTTGACTTAATCGTCCCTTTAAAATCTCATGATTAGATACCGAAAGCTTGATGGCATAGGAACTATACATAACTCACTATACTGACTGCAACATCAGTTAACTGCACCTATTTTTTATTATATAGTAAATATATTCTGCTATTAATGATACAATACGTATTGTTACTTGATAAGACAACTGAACAATATAACATGTTCGTGTAATATTGTTTTCTTAGGATTTTGGTCAGCTGGATGACCCGAAGATGAATGAATCTCTTTTGGCACTCAAAGATGACCATTGGCGATTTGTCAGAAACATTATTACACCAACATTCAGCGGAAAAAAATTAAGAGAGGTATGTATAAGGAATATAGGTTTGTATGTGATAAACGCCTTCCACCTTATATTTTTTTGTCTTTGGAGAGGTCACATATTGTGCGGATTCATGAGAATCACTGATCGTGTGTTACCCAATTACACACAGCTAATTAGATACCATTAGTGAGGACGAGTTGTCACCGTTTACATCAAAAATATTTTAGAAGTTTTTAAACAAGCAACAGGATTCCCTTATCCAGATACATTTCTTAATCACAAAATAAATGGAAAGCACGGACCTAGGAATATCTTTACAGATAACACTTCGTTCCAATCCTCAGACACGTGACCTATTAAACAGAATTTAATAAGCAATATACTGTATAGTATGTTTGAGGACACATTGAATTTGTACGATATCTGAATGTAATAATGAAAAGGCAAAACAATGTGGGCACATGCAGAAACGAGAACACCAAATACATATCTGCAGAATACCACTGCATCTGATTTAAAGGCAGGCGATCAATGAATAACTTTCTGTTGGACCAGAGAGGTCTTATGGTTCTTCCTTTGGGGCTGTTAGAAAGGCAACATTTGATTTGCAACTTTAATTGCAAAATTTTGAAATTTTATTTTCTGCCCGCTTGTTTTCTGTACAAATCCTTTTGTTAGACACAAACCTAACCTAACCCTAACCGCGTCTCATAATACACTTCATTTACAAGGATGATATTCTTTGATTAAATTTTCAAAATATCTGGTAAGAAAAACATGTAGATTTCATCTTAAGAGCATCGTAAGGAATTCTGAAATAATTTCAAATATTTTTTATATCAAAACACCATCCATAACCACTTGAATGAATTTGCTAGAAATGGTTTGTAGATGTTATGTAAAGAAAAAAGACAAACTACATAATCAGTACAGATAAACCCCTCCAAGAAGATGTATATCTCTATTGGCTGTTGCAATAAGGAGCAGAATGGATAAACACAGACCATCTCTCAGATTGAGTGCCATTGACAGGTGTCAGCTGAGTTCACACTTTGGACTATTCGCCGAACATTGACGTCATAACGTGGTCATTTGCACTCTGCCCAATGAAGTGAAAAGGCGTTTACGAAAGCTCTAAAATAGTTTTTAATACCTGTTTGTACTCAAGACAAGGATCTTCTTAAACATATTTACAAAACTCAATCCGAATAGTAAGATAGATTTATTTATTCCTTTACAATGAATTGTTTTCAATTTGACACTACAGTATTTATGTTCTATTTTCAATGTCTTTGTCAAATGTTTCAGATGTCACCACTTATAAGGCAAGCGCAAGACTTATTGTTGAAAAATTTAGAAACGATGGCAAATAATAATGAAGACACCAACCTGAAAGAGTAAGTTACCTCATTATGACAATGATTGAAATTGCTTGCCAAAATGTAACTGTAGTGTAATGTGAATCTCATCTTACTTTGGTTTTGATGAGACCGTACGCTGATATCAATACTTTCGAGTAACATCCTTGCATATGCTTACATGCAGACACTAATTTAATTATCACATTTTGGCTTGATATGGATGGACATTTGATTCAAACCTATAATTTCATAGCTTATTGTATCTAAGTAAATTTTCAATTTAGACGTCTAACTAATTTGATCTCATCATGCATGTATATGTTAAATCTTACATATGTGAAAATACTTTGATAGGCATCAAGGTGGTAGTGATGTAAGTACATTGTATACTCGACTTTTGCAGAACCTTTGGTGCCTTTACAATGGATGTCATTGCCAGAACATCATTTGGGTTGGAAATAAATTCTCAAAAAGACTCAAATGATCCATTTATAAAGCATGCCAAATCCTTCTCAAATTCTAAAATCATGGGATTGCTGATGGCAATATACAGTAAGTTAAAGAATTGATGTTTGATGTTGTTAATCGTACCTTACATTCAATATTGTGTCAGTCATCAGATGATCTTTATAAATCAAAATAATATGGAAATCTATTTGTCATGAAACTTGATTTTTCTCAATATGATTTCATTAGCATTATCTATCGGTAGTTAATTTTGCATTAATGATACTTTGTTTATCAGACCTCACCGTTTATCAAAATTAATGACGTTTTGTAAAGCGAATCATACTGTAAAGATACTTTTTGTGTCATTTAACAGGTTGATTTTATAAAACGATAATATATCGTTTGTTAATCTCAATTTCAGAAACTTCATTTTGAGCTCCTTCGGAGTATTTAATACACTGAAATAAGTAATAGAATATAAACAAACAATATCAAAAGACATATTGACATATCTTGTTAATACCTGTAACTGCTAAGACGATTTTAGTGATGCTTTGGTGAACGTCGGGATGCCGTATACACAGGTATAGCCACAAATAATATTTGCCTGTGGTTGAGTTGAATAACTCGATTGCAATATTGATGTACTGGTATTATGTATAAGAAGCACTTCTCATCTCAAGAACCAATTCACATCGTTTACAGACATTAGCATATGTTATCCATTTTGAAAGAAACACAAATGATAGGAAAGATATGTTTTACTCGTGCTGTGGTATATTTTTGGGAACTTAAGAACATTTTTCGAGATTGCGTATGATAGACACTAATGGAGAACTTTCAGTCTGTCTGTTGCAATCTGCATTTCATGTTTTAATTCATTCCAATAACAGTACAGTTTAAAATATGTATTATTCAAATTCCTTAACATTTATTACTTTTAGGGGTTAGTACATTTTGTTTATAGACATTTATTTCGACCAATTATTCCCAGTTAGACCCTAAGTCTCATTGACAAGTCATTGAATATCTTGGCTTTATTGTATAAAATTCTTAATTTGATTGAAAGGATAATAACCATAATACCTGGGTAATACGGTGTGTCGGTGTTTCTCTACGTGGTAGATGTTTGTTACGTAAATACATATTGTTGTTTTAATAGTGTTTTTGCCGTTCCTAACCCATTTTCGGGGCCTCCGGACCGTCCTCCACTTAATCGGACTCAATCTGACTAAAAACGCATCAAATTTCTTTGTGTCTGTAACTGAAGCAGCGCTGAAAGAAAGACGACAAAATCCAGGGGTATGTCAAAGTAATAGAAACAATTAAAATCCTTGAACTCGGCTATTCTTATACGTTGTTAATATAGTCTGGAACTAAAAGCAAAATGATGTATGTAGTTTATATGACAAATGATTGAAAGTTTGTGAAAGTTGTATGGCATTTACCTAGAAAACCTGTGGGGTCTGTGCAGCTAACATTGGAAATAATACTGACACATCTTATTTTTTGCAGAGCCATGCAGATTTTTTAGAACTCATGGCACATGCACAGGCTGCTAATGAAGAAGTTACTAAAACTGAAGACAAGACTACCAGCAAATTTTCATCTAGGAATGGTCAGTATTCTAGTAATACAACCGATTATCCACGAATGTAATGCAGATATAAACGTGGTCATCCATGTCATCATACTTCATACAACAAATACTATACTCTGTTTCCGATTGTGTTACAACACCCCTCCATTGTGATGACCTCCATAATGCACTCATGTCCTGCAGAAAACCATTTGCTAAACACATATTTTTTTCCACCGCTACTAAGGTTTACCTTTAAACTGCAACTGTAAATGAACAATTTTATATGAATTCTACCATCAATTTTATATGTATCTGGCTTGTTTTATGATTGGAATGGAGTTCTGATTATCCATTAAATGACAAAGAATTCTTTTCTGTTCTACGATAAAATGTTTTGCGGACAAAACGTTTTTGGAATCTGTATTACACCATAGTTTATATGTGCTATTTCAGCTCTTACTGACGGGGAGATAAGGTCTCAAGCACTTGTGTTTTTCCTTGCGGGGTATGATACGTCGTCTCTTACCATGACTTTCGTCTTTTATCACTTGGCCATCCATCCAGACATCTGTGACAGGGTTATACAGGAAGTCGATGATAATCTGGGAAAGGTAATAAAGTGGATAATTTTAGTCGATTATTTACAAATGTGTCTCTGTATCCTAAATCTTTTTTCTTTTGTTTGTTGTTTTAATAGTGTAATTTAGTTTGTGGAGATATCTATTTCATTAACGTTGCTTTTGGCTTTCATTATTTGTTTCAGGAACCCCCCAATTATGATAATATCAAAACGTTAACATATACTGAAATGGTAATCGAGGAGACACTGAGAATATTTCCACCTGGATTCAGGTAAGAATAGCATTGTAAGTTAGTCAAGACAAAAACTTTATCGATTATCAATGCGTAGAGATACGGATGACTGGTGAAATAATCGCCGCGGTTATTACTTTTGCCTATAGAATGTTGTTTGACTTATGGAAGAAAAGTGTACAATTTTGTATTCTGAGGTGAGTTTATATCTTGGTGAAAATCAAATGTTTTCTTCGCTGACGAAAATAGTTCGTGTATACAGTAATCTTTAAAACTAAACCAAGATTATTGATCATATACATCCATATTTTTTTTAGGATTTCTTGTCCTTGAATGTGATGGAAATTTATTGGAAATTAATTGTACCAATGTACAAGGTAGATATATGTGTGTATCAATGATGAATATATCGTATGTCTACATATTTACGGTAATCTGCCATCGACTATATGAATATGTTTAGGAAAACAAACCTTCATTATTATCATTTAACAGTGAAAACAAAAATGCACATTCCATCTGGTATAATATTTAATGATGTCGAAATAATCCGAAAAGTATATGGATAATATCCGTTAGCAGGGTATTCTGTCTATATATGTTATAACTGCCATTTGAGTTAGCCATATATAATCGATTTCATAACCAATTTCTACCTCAAAAAATTCCGATGGCCCTAGCTACTTCTGGTAAACTGGTATTTGATCAATAAAATTAGCGTATTATACCGTTATAGCTGTAATGTCACGCCAGGAACTTTGTTTCAGTTTGTTCTATATCGTCATCTTTAAAAAATCTGTATGTATAGCGAGGAAATCAGAAAGTTTTCAAATGTTAATTCAACGAGTGATTAAAATGTCGGTGTCACTGTGAATACATACTTTTATCAACAATTTGAATGCCCATAAAATTTGATAAAACAGATTGAAACGTAATATAACCCTTCATACGTAATTTTGCTTTTAGAATTGAGCGTGTAGCCAATCAAGATGTTGTCATTGGCAACGTGAAGATCCCTAACGACATGATTGTGAATATACCAATAGGAGCAATTCAAATGGACCCTGAATACTGGACTGACCCGGAGAAGTTTGATCCAGAAAGGTGTGACATCTGACCTCATATGTACCGCAAACACCACCACTATGATTATCTAGCTTCATGTTTCATATTCATGTTTTGTTCTTTAGTTTAATTACACGTGAATTTATTGCTGAGAACCCCTGTGGTTTACCTGGACAAGCAATAATAATCTATTTAGTTATTGCGTTTGCATAACATAGATGTTATAAATAATAATGTCTCATAATTTGTTCCACAAGATCATGTTTTCCTTTCTTTTTTTTTATTTGTATTAAACACCCATGCCATTTATATTCTGAGTCTTCTGTTTCGAATTTGAATTTCGTTTGTAAATTCATTTTTCAAAACCTGTAGAATTTGCCCTTAAAAAAAAGAAAAAAAAATGTTGTTTATGAATTTCCGTTGTAGTAATCTGTATTATACTTTCATACATGATGATTTGTAGTTATGGTGTATAAGATTATTCAGATTAGTGATGGTGATGATATCTAAAAAAAAGATTGAACAATTCCTTCAGATCACTAGTGATACCAGTTATATTGATAATCACAAGTTTGCGAATAGCTAGCAACCTGCCTGACTTTGACATAAACACTTAAGATATGTGACGAGGAACATGTATGTATTGTGAAATTGATTAACCGTAACCTTATTTTATATTTTGACATTTCTTTCGATCATTTTGAATTCTCCTCGGTCGCCGCCTAAAGTTGAAACTTAGGCCAAGACAAGACAGATGTATGATGTAGTTTAATTGATTATTTGGCTCTACTGTATATATCTTGTTGTATCTAATTCGTATTAAATGGTGCTATTCACAAGTGCCTTTTGTACAATCTTCCACCGTATTTATGGAATTTGCGATGAGCCATCGGATGACTGTATAATTTTGATGTCAGTTGATCAGAAAGTGTTCCCACCTAAGTGTACCATTACTCTTTCTTCTTGTTAGGTTCACAGCGGAAGCCAAAGCTGCCAGGGACCCTTACACATATCTCCCCTTTGGAGCAGGGCCCCGTAACTGTATTGGTATGAGACTTGCTTTAATGGAACAGAAAATGTGCATTGCTGCAGTCCTGCAGGCTTTCAGACCAATCCGGTCTGCAAAAACTGATGTAAGTTATACTGAAATCGATTCGTTGTAAACGAGTGAAAAGATGAAGATTTTATATGCGTTTTGGAAATAGATGACGTCATATTTGCACTTTTGAGGAACTAAAATAACTATAGGCATACATATCTTTAAGTTTATGAAACATTAACAGTTAATCTTAATGAGATCATGGTGTTAGCATTTGTGACTTGTTGTCATATATTGGTAATTATGCCATGTAACGTCAGCGATAAGCGAACATTGTCTATGTTTATGTTTTATTGGACAACATACTAAACACGAACACCAATGATAAGGTCTCTTGCTAATAGCCGTGTGTACATCTGACGCCGTTAAAATTGTAAAAATAGATAAAACCAGAAGAAGCAGTGTACATTTATTGGATTTGTAACATTTCCCCCTCATACATGTAAGTGAATTTTATCGTTACTGTTACACACACATCAATGTTGTCTATGCTTTAGTTCCTGCATCAACAGGTGGAAAGCGAGTTAGTAGTGTTCAGACAGAAAAATGTTAAGCTTTTCTTGTATTACAAACATATCTGTACTTTGCTTCATACTGGAAAATAAATGCTCTTTGTCCAAAACACCAACCTTTGTCTCGAAAGACTTGGTTTTCAAGAAGATCATTTATATAAGTACACGTGTATTTTTCTATATAAATTTCTTGGTGGTTTCAATTTTGCTTCTGATTACAGTGCCCACCAAAGCTCAGTAAATTCGGAAACATGCCAGTTGAGGAAGGCTTGTGGATCAAGTTTGAAAAAAGGAGCTGAACTTACCTTCACCTGCTGTCTTAAACATGAGACACAACTTAGTCTCCAGTATGGTGCATATAAATTGTGTGACAAATATTTTTAAAATTGTATTTTATTCGGATGCGTGTGTAATGAAACAACAGTTTTTAACATATGACGAAATTCCTTATGAATTCAATGAGGTGTACATTTGATAGGTCATTTTTATCACCCACTATGACGAAGATAAACAACAGACACCATATTGTTGTTTATATAAGCTTTGTATGTATTCGACTGAATAGTCTTTTGGCGGGAGCATCAGACCCCAGATGTGTTTATTTCAAAGTAGCACGCAGAAACATTTTGTCGTGGATAAATGGTATTTAGCTTTCTGGTTTTACTTTTTTACGGCATGACCACGTCCATTGAAAATGGTCGCTGATTCCATGACGGATGATCGTCCGAAAGACATGTTAGAAAGTGGTCATACTTTGACTTAAACGCATCACATAATGACATATTAACGGAGTTGTGCTGATTTACGATGTTGTATCGATATTGTCGCCAGAACACGGATGTATGTCGGTGAGACAATACCAGGCAACTGGATGAGTCGCAGAGACGGAAAACCTGTAACTAACCAACCATACAAACAGCATGATCTTAACTATAAGGGTGTTGTAGTGACTAACCAACTTAATTAAAGCTCTCACCTTATTGTTAGCTTACCAAAGGATTATATTACTGTACTCATCAGTTAGTGTCTGATTTATTGGTTTGTGATTTTGAGACGCGTCTTCTTAGTTTTGCTTTGCTTATCAAATTATTGACACAATTACATATTCTACACATACACACAATCATGATAATGTCTCTTTCATATTTTTTTTAATTCTTTATATTTTGCTTTGTTAGTTATATGCAGTCTTATTCTATGAAGCAACCAACTGCATGGTGATTATCTACATGTAAAAAACTCTCAGTTTAATGTTAGACCTTAACATCTTGTAAATTGTTATATATAACAAATGATGGCCTTTGATGATATCAGTTTGCTTGTGTGTTAGTACGTGCAAAGGTTGTGTGTACAAGATATACCATGGACTCCTGGACCTTGTACCGTTATGTTATTCACAGGATTAGATTCTGATTTTTGATATGTCCTCCTTTAGTTGAAGAGGTAAATATTAATCACTCTGTCGGTGCATTCGAAACTTGTGTTCAAGACGTCACATCAAAAGGCAGCAAATGTTAATTGTGAATCAAAATATTTTGATTTCCTGTCCATATAAAAAATGTGAACTTGTCACACTCTTTCAGTTGTTTGAAATATGGTGCCTTTATAGATAATGCAGGGGGACTTTCAAAATTGTCTTGATTGTAAGTTGTTGGTTGACTCTGTAACATTGAATATTGCTACAATAGTTGCTTTTTAAATTGTTGTTATCATGTAAGTTCCGGTCGTCGGAGAGTTAATATTATCATGTAGAAATTAATCTACATTTGTATTTTCAGAAATACTTAGTAAATCGTGACATTCAATTGGAAATTACATGACATTATTCCAACCAATCATGAAGTGTAAAAGAGGTATTCTGTTTGGAAATTCAAAAAGGTTGAAAATAGAAACCGTTTTGAACCAGCAAAACATGCAAATGATCAGCAAGCTGAATTTTTCACATGTCGGATAGTGAACATCCGACCGACCTATCGATTGGTCAAAATCATCCTGACCTACAAAGTAAACCGTCAAGCATTGATATGAGATCACAGTTATAGGTGAACATATTCGACTGAACTGAACATATACATTAACTATTAAATAGTACTGCTAAAGCAATGTTCTAGAAAGCAGATTTTGACCGTAAATTTGATATCCTGTTCATATAGTTTCCTGTTTAAAGTGCATGACATATAGTCTATAAGCTACGAACTGATACGACACGGCATGAAGGTATACTAAAATATGGAACGAAGGAAAATAGTACTAAGGCGGGTAATCCGGTCCATGTAAAGAGGCATCATCCTGGACATTCTACATCCTACATTTGAGAGATTCTGACCAATTTATCTTCCTGAATACAACGTCTTCATTGCTGAGTTGGTCTTGCATTCAATCTTACATAAAATTGACAAATACTAACGTGTAGATATATGTATCTAGTTTGAGAAAACACACACACATGCTATTTTTAAGACACTTTGAAAAAAAATCAATGTTATCTTTCGAGTTTAGTGCTTTCTTATAGCTTCCTTAACAATAATGTAAAGTTCATTTTGGCGTTAATGAAAAGTGGCTGCATTAGTGCCGCGGACTTGCATCGTTCTATAAAAATTGACATTTTTTGACAAGTGTAAAAACAACTACGATATCTTTTTTCCTCGTGACACCCATTCCACAAATGTAGTTGAACAAAATTGAAATTTTTGAATTTCTTCAGTTTATTTCAATAATATACATAAACCCCTTTATAAATTATCTTTCTTTTTTTCAGAGGCAATAAGTAAGTAACTGCATTCCTTTAAAGGAAAGTCAAAATTACAGTTAAGAAATCGAGATCAATATCTTTATTAAATATGGACAATGAAATTGCATAACAAGTATTGCAAATAGAACAAAATCTACATTACAAAATTGAATCAGTGATACTCAAAAATGGTTCATACGCACCTTATTCACAAATTCACAGACAAGACCATTAAAAAGACTGCCTATTTAAAAAAAAATCGGCTCTCTGGAACGGAATTTTATGAAATAAACTTTAACTTTTCAATGATTTTTGTCTCTCATCAGAAAGTGGATACAGTCTGTTTTTTTTTCACAAAAATATTTGAATTCGTATTTGTAATTATGGTCACATAACAAGTTTTTATTTAAATAAGAGGGGTTCGACAAGGGGGTTCTTTGTCTCCGTATCTATTGAATTTATCTATGAAATAACGACGCAGTTCCTTAGAACTTAACCCTGACTTAAAAGAGCTTCATGATTCGACATTCTGTCTTGAAGATGACGAACAATACAAGAAACTTTCTTTAAATAATGGAAAAAAGTCATATAGTTTGGCTAGTGATAAAGAGGTGAAGAGAATCTTTTCGAAAACTATTAAATGAGTTGTCACGTAGAATTCTTAGTCATCATAAGGAAGTCAGAGTCACCTATACACTGACACTCCTAATATTTACACATTTTTAGAGTGCTGTTCTGGGCACTTCTGAAATGCTTAAGAACATACAAAATATATACATTTTACAAATGTTTATGGCTCGGGAAAATTTACAAGATTGAAAGAAGTGTAATGGTAAACCCGTACGAGAACAGAGGCCTTAGTCACTCGCATTACATTGATAAAGAAAATACTAGAGCTCATCGACAGCCGCTAAAAAAAGAAAAGATTAATATCAAGGCAATGCCAAGCATTTTGGTCTGTCAGAGTTATTTCCCTTCGATTCTCACTGTGCAATCGAGAAGGCTGACAACGAGGAAGATAATTGAAATAACGTAGGCTTGGATTTTCATTACAATAAACATGTCTCCTTTTTTTATTCGCATGTATGCTGAAAACAAGAGCAAACAAGTATTTCGCGTAATCATGTCATATTTATCCGCGTTTTAGTCTGAAAGAACGATGTGTTTTTGTTTACTTCCGGTTATTACTAAACAAGGTTGACCATGGCCGGCCGACCAAAGACACAGCGCTTCAAAAAACCCCAGAAGCATAAAATGGTCGGATATAAGTTCGCAACACTTGTGGGAGGCCTCTTTGGAACGCTCGCATTATTTTTGTATCCAACTGTTATTCAACCAATGATCGACCCTACGAAGTGGCGTAAGTTTTTTTTACCAAGCTGTCAATGCAAGAACTCAAATACAACTATAATATGCATACACGTGTGTGTGTAATGTAAATAGATACATGCATATTTGGATACATTGAAAGCTGTCGATATACAGAAGTTACGTAAACCACGTGGGCTCGGGTTGGAGATTTTCAATAATGAAGGACATCAGTTAAGTATTAACTGGTTATTTTACCACAACACTATAATATTCTTTTTATACATATACGCCTCAGTAGGCTAACTCAGTGAATATGTCTATCATTCCAACAATTTTGTTTTCATTAATTTAACTGGCACCCATACTGGTTAGTTCAACTCCTTAAAACGATATTATTTGTATGATAAACATATTCACTGAGTTAGCCCCCTTTGATCGATAGTCCAATTTTCGTAAGATTTCAGATGGGTGCCAGTAGTTCCGTACCATTACCAGTCCATACAAGTCATTTGTACCACAGTTTCCTACCAAGATCTTTAGTCGGTACATACCATTGTTTTTCTATGTCGTATTTATTTTCGTAAAATTTCATATATGTAAGCGTAACTGAATAAGATAGGTGTAGTTTCCAGAACGTTTGTTGATTTTATCATAGGGGTACATTGTATATAACTAAAGACATATATGTATATCTCAGATTTTAGTTATAGATTGCGTTGATTCTCTCACAGAGTATATTGCGGTAGAGATTGTATTTGGCGAAAATAATCATAACTACTCACTTCTCATTGTTGTTCTTTTAAATGGTCTACATGCTTTTGATAAAAAAAACTTCTTGTTGATGAAATGTAGGAAATATCGTTATGTCTTCCAGACATTTTCATTAGTGTTCTTTAAAGATTTGACATTAAATACTTTAAAGGGATATTCTGCACAAGTAAAGAGTTCATGGGATAATTTTGAAGAAAACTATACAAAATTATCAACTCGTGTTCTTATGGAAATCATACACCTCAATTTACCATTTAAACAAACAAATGATAATTGTTTTGCAGAAATTTGTTATATATCCAGCAAGATTGATTTACATAATGTTTATGCTGCCCTGATTACATCATTACAGATTTGCGTTGTTATAAGTCGAACAGAAAAAAATATTTGTGCAAGTTATAAAATCATCAGAAAATAAGCTAAATGAAGTATGGTAGTAAAATTGTAATCCCAGCAGAATTTTTGTGAAGAATCTTATTTTGTGTATTGAATGTGAACTGTTTGATCGGTTTTAGGGTGTTTCCTTATGTTTTTGAGCTCAAAATATATTTTGCATTTAATGTTGGTTCAGGAGTCATTGTCTGCGAGTTTTTTTTTAATTACAAAACTAAAAATAAGCTGAGCATACAGTAGAGCATACAGTTTTCGAGAGAAGTCATAGCAGAGTTTCCTCCCTTGAATGGTTAGTACAGAGAAGAGATTTAAAAACAGAAGATGCAGGGATGGAGTTCCCACATCAGTTACATCAATATCGCTCCAACATTGTTTTGTTTTCGATGAGATTGGCCTGTCATAGTGTTAGTAGAGATGTTTATAAAATGTTTTTGTGTCTTCACAAGTTCATATGTCAGGTATAAGTTGATTGATTGAATTACTGTGACTGTTTAACTTTCTTCTTTCCTAGAAAAAATGGGAATTCCCTTGTTTAGGCTGTTTTGTTTTCAATTCTTTGCAATAGGTCCATTCAAATCTATGTAGGAATTTATTGTGAGATAATGACATTGATTTGTAATGATAAATCTACTATGTAACACAATAACTGTCAATCTAAGTTTTATGTTGGTGTCAGCTTTTTTACCACATTCATAATGGGTCTAACACGACAGTCAGACAGTAAATCACATGATTTATGTGTTATATCCTGCATGTACAAGTCTTCTATTGTATATCATTTAACGTGAATAAAGATTGAAAGCAAACTGAACGTTGTCCATCGGCGATGAGTTTGGTCCAAATCAGCACAGGGGCAGAATGATTTTAGTGAACAGCATACACACTTGTGTATTTACCCAGTGCTTTGTATAAAATCTTTGATCCAGTGAAGGGAGGTTACAAATTCACTTCATTATTTGTCATGTAACTACTCCAACATTTGTTTTGGTAAAGATATATGGTGATACATATCGACTTGGCTTCGGAATACTTTTTAACTGACCATCAGTTTTGGTACATAACAACCAAACGCTTGGTATGAAAAGAGTAGTACAGACCAATTGTGATATGGAACGACTGGTATTCTTTCAGAGAATGTAAGATACTGAATACTCACAATCAAGGAACTGAGCCCATGTGACGTAAATGTCAAATAGCTGTTTTCATTATTTCATTATCTAGTCAAAAACTAAAATCTGTTCTTTCTATTCATTTTTGTCAGACAAAATGAAACTAAAGCATGTAAACATCTACTCCAATAGTGTTAAATGTTTACCCAGTACGACAAGAAATTTATGAAAGGAGCCATCAGCACACTAACATCAGATGATAAATGTTATAACAGCCCAGTAAACATCAAGACATTTCTGCTTGAATCAAGTTCATATAGGTATAGACGCTGTTTGTAAGGCAACAAGGGCTAACTTTCAGGATTTTGAGTAATGTATGATATCAGTTAATAATTACACCAATACAAATCCAGTATTGATACACACTCTGAAACCTTATGGAAGTTTGTATCAATGTTTGCATTTCTAACTCACCTGGCCCAAAGGGAGGGTAATTAAGGGTCAGATTTGGACTGTATTGGGAGGGTGATTAAGGGCCAGATCTGGTCTGTATATGGATGGTAAGTAAGGGTCAGATCTGGACTGTATTGGGAGGGTGATTAAGGGTCAGATTTGGACTGTATTGGGAAAGTGATTAAGGGCCAGATCTGGTCTGTATATGGATGGTAAGTAAGGGTCAGATCTGGACTGTATTGGGAGGGTGATAAAGGGTCAGATCTGGTCTGTATATGGATGGTAAGTAAGGGTCAGATCTGGACTGTATTGGGAGGTTGATTAAGGGCCAGATCTGGTCTGTATATCGATGGTGATTAAGGGTCAGATCTAGACTATAAATAGAGGGTGATTAAGGGCCAGATCTGGTCTGTATATGGATGGTGATTAAGGGCCAGGTTTGTACTATATATGGAAGGTGATTAGGTACCTGATCTTGACTAAATAGGGTGGTTACTGGTAGTTCTTTCAACTGAAATTAATGAATAGCAGCTTACGTAAAGTTACTTTTTTTTAAAAAAAATTATAACTGATTCAGCACCAGAGTATTGTCCTTATTAATTAATTCCATGGAAAAATTTGCAATACTTTGGAATCTTGCACTCTTTCACCTTTATTTGGCCATCGTTATTGAAAAACATTAACAAAAATGAGCATTTTCTTTGAGATGACATCAGAAGGCTGGCTTGGCTGCAGGTCACCTCCTTGTGATCTCTGCTTACATTGGAATTCAGCAGGACATTTTGTTATTATAATGTTGAGAACAAAGGACTAGATTAAATAAGTGTTAAGATGTTGCATTATCTGGATATATAAAAAGGTTTGTGTTATGCTTTGCAGAATACTAAAATTTATGAAAATATTTTACTACCTCTTGTGGCTGATAGACAGATGTCTGCTCCACAACAGATGTACATGTAGGCCTTACTGCCTTAGGTTTGATATACAAATGTAGCAGCCATGGAAATATTATTACTGAAACAATAATCCAACATGTTTTGACACAATATGTACTTGTTTATAGATGAGGTTGAATTGAATGACTATGCAATGCTTTTAGATTGCTTAGAACTGTAGTAGTGATCTGACAGTCACAATAAAAATAAGTAAATTTAAAACATTGCATTTATGATTTTTCAGAAGAAATACAGAAAGAAGCTAGAGCAGGATATGACCAAGAAAAGATACAACCTGGAGGTAAGTGTGTTGTGTGATTTATTATCTAAATATCAGTATAGTTTGCATGTATGTTCTTGGTGTTTATGTAACTATTGTATGATATAATTTAAAGGTCAGTATTGTATGATACATTTAAGCATGGTGGTCAGTATGGTATGATGGTCTTGATGTGAATAACACTTTGAGATATATTGTACCAATACTGTCTGTCACACTGGCTAGGTAACACTGTATCGCTCATAATGTGCTCTGTCACGAAGAATATCACAAAACAGAAATCATTGGCCAAAACATCAAGCAAACCTAATTACCTAGACAGTATGACATAATGTTTAAATGAAGATACCATACATCTGATAACATGCGTCAACCTTTGCTGCTCATGTTTCAGCAGTTGTGTTATAATTAGATGGCCTTCAAGTGTTGGTTTTCTCAGTAATTTTTATGGATATCAACAATTTTTAACATAAGTCACTTTTATTTCAATAGAAACAAGTTTGTGCATCTTTATAAACAGTTTGCTGGATAAACAGATGTATATATGAAATTTGACTCAGTGTTTTAGGAGACCACATGGTATCAGAATGTTTTTCTATCATCTTAACCAGAAATGTTTCTGAAAGTACGGTTATTGATGTTGAGGTTATTGAAGTTCGGATATTTATTGACAGAAATATCTGATTTGGTTACAGACATGAGAGTATGGACTAACCCGATGAAAACACCAAGCAAGAAGGAATAAGAGAAGACGACGATGAAGAACATTTACTTATTAATATATAACTAAAAATAGTTTGTGTGATGAGAAAGGATATGTAAAATCTAATACAAACAGACTGAGAAAAAACCGGATCAACTTACTAAAAGTGTGTTCATCATAAACTGATGTGGTAGTGATGAGGAAAATCCCTGTAGATTTTGAAATAGAATCGAAAGTGAAGTGTGATTGAGTGACAATAACAAAGTAATATTTGTGATGATGCATCAAGAAGAAACTGTCTTAATTACTTGAATGATTTTGTAAACTGTGTGTGAGCAAGCTAGGAATATGCTCTCTGTATGGTAGAACATGTAAATACACTTCTTGAGCTTAAATATTATAGAATTGTGAGCATAAATATTATAATTCTGTTAAAAATTGTAATTGTTCTCAGCTGATAATTACTACAGTGTAGTATATAAAAGCGTTCTCAACAATTCCATTTTTACAGTTGTAACATTGAATGAGTTTGACCACACCTTTTTCAAAAAAAACAAAAAACAAAAAAAAAACAACCTGTTTGTATACACTTGTTAAGATTCAAGAATGAATTAGAAAGCTGATCCTTATTTTAGGGAGGTCCAAATGAGAAAAATTGGGAAAACACAGTGTTGTTTTAAACAAAATATATGTAGACTGTCACCATTGTTGCAAACCTCTAGTCTAGACAGTACTTCAATAGGTTGTTTCAGGAAAACAAGAACAAAAGCCAAATGCATAAATAGGATAATCATATCTATTATCCAATATCCGGTTAAAGATATATATTTCTATTTGAAAAAAAATGCCAAAAAATACTGCTAGTATATTATGAAGAAACAATATCAGTTTCCTTTTTCCTAAAACTACATGTCATGGTAGGGAAGGTTAAAAAGTTTTGACAGATAACTTAACAGTACTCAGATAGATTAATGGGTAGTACAATGATACTCAACTAAGAACTAGGATTCTCTATTAGATAAATCGGTCAGCTCATAAACCAAACGTGTAGTCACAATTGTGTACATTCATTAGGGAAAGCTTAATATTATATTGTGTTGTTCAGCTCTCATATGAAATAAGTTGGACTTGTTGCTTGAAACCAGATACAAGTATAAACAGTTCATTTATGCTGTTAATCAGTTGAAGGCCAGGGTTATTTGAATTTCTGGCTTCAGAGATTTAGAAATTATTCAAGATGTGAGATGATTTTTTTTATTATCAAAACGACTCAAATAGCAAATTACAATTTTCGTCATGAAAGCCAAAAAATCAGGTTTATTTATTCATTCACGGTTCATCTCCCACTAATACAGCTGACACGGGTACCTTATGTAAATTATATTGCAGGACAACAAAAAAGTCAGATAGTTGAGAGTTTTACTGAGTTCATAATCATTTGTGACATAATACTTGTAACTTCAGCTGTTTGATTACTAAACTAGTCTGTATTTCAACTTGTGGATAATCTTTCTTGTACGTCTTAATTTGTAAGTCTGCTCCATGCAACATCCTGTAGATTACCGTCGGCTGGAATCTGTTGATGACTGTGGCAGTGTGTGACATTGTGGGGGCAATCACAACAGCCTTTGGTGAGGTTGTAGAAATCATCAAAAAAGACACATTACCAAGGGTAGAGGAGTTCACCTTACCGACCCATACACAGGAATTTTCTGACAAATTGATAGATACATAAGAAATAATAACTATTAATTCATTCAATTTGTAACAATGTATTAAAGAATGGAAGCATTGTAAAGGCTGAACGTTCAATGCTGGTATTCCTTGTCTCCCATTTATCACATTTATCTTCTTTCTTAAGATCGCATTCCAAAAGTTTGAAAGACAACGAAATAACTGAAGATACAATGATAGAAATGTTATCCATGGATGTAGGTATTCATGTCTTGTATATATATATATATATATTCATCAGCTGTGACAATTAAGAAGCTGGCACTTCGTCATTTAGAACATAAACAAGAAACCCAGCTAGCGGCAGCATCTAGCTTGATCTTAGGAGGGAAATTCATACACTCACTTTGCACGACTTAATGATCCGATAGACTGAAAAGGCAAGTAACCACCAAGAGCAAAACAACATAGGAAAGTATCGTCTCGTTGCCTACAAAATGGTAAAATGTATGTTAGCCTACATGTTTTGTGCAAATATCCATTTTGATACTATGTCATATTCATCTTTCGATAGAACTGAAAAACTTTTATAGCAACCGTCATTCGAAGAGGATGTTGGTTTTATTTCTTTCATACACATGCTTGTAAAAATGTAATATCTATGCCGTTTTCCATACGTTCTCAGCTGTCATATGAAAGAAAACATTACGGTAGTCATATTTATCTGTGAGTTCTACATATTTACTTTAGAAGCATCTTTTTATACTTAATAGCATATATAAGAACACCCCCCCCAAAAAAAGGGAAAAATCCCAATAGTTATTGATGAGCTCTATAACCATTAATGTACAGTGAAATTATTTTTTGCTGAATTTATTTATTTGACAAGCTGCATTTTGTTACATATAATTTCCCTTTCTTTCCAATACATTAATCTTCATGTCATCACTACCGTATGAAACAGTATCTGTCCGAGTTAAGAACTGATTCACCCCACTAACATGGTGACTCTTGATTAAACGGTTAGCATTGTATCCATTCACCTAAACATTACGTCAAACGTAGAAAAACCTACCTAAATCCAATATGTCTTCGGAGTCGTGGAAATCCTAAAATTGAAATGTAGCAAGTGTAATATGTACCTATGTATGAAAGTAATATCCGTAATGGTCGTGTTTATGAATGATTATCCTAATATGTCGGTAAATGCACTTTGTATAAAACTTCAATCTTACCTTCATAATTAAATCATTCATACTACACAGCACAAAAAAGCTCTGATTCACGTCAACGGAATACATCCTTGCAACATTACGATCAAATATAACTAAGGATTATTGTGAACATTACGGCATACACGTTGTGAAACAAGTTTAAGGTAGTTAAAATTATTGAATGATATAGTCGGTAGTAAATTTTATTTCATGAGTTTGATCAGGGACGATCGAGTTACATTGTATCTAAACAGTCAATATCGAAATCGGGCAATTTACCATCAAGTTTATTTGATACATGTAGCAACACACTTGAAATATACAATATTTGTTAAAACTGAGGTCACTAGACTCTACATGTATTTTTCTTTGTTATATTTAACAACTGAATAATTCAAATAAAGCAAAATGTCTGCAACCCCAACATACAATTAATAAGCCAACAATTCGTTATTATTGCTACTCAATGATACTGCTAAAGCTTCGTACTTGTGTTCATCATCAAAATGGCAACGGGGAGTCAGAATAACATGGCCCTTTACAAAAGGACGTATGGTGCATTGTCATGAATTGTTCTGTATTGAAAGGTACTTGTGTGCCTTCAGTAAGGTTCGAGATTGAGGATGGCTAGTTCTGAAGGTGGACTTCCTCTGTTTATGGTATAGGCAAAGCGGAATTAGAAATCGATGTCTAGGCATCAGCCTCCTATCTCGATCTTTACCTTCATCTAAACTAACAAAGCCGTATGCTAATGATGATGATTCTGACTTCCCTATTGTGTATTTTCCGTTTCTTGATTGTAAGAAGACTGCTTCCCTAAGATATGTTGTTCACGTGTCGAAAGTAGTTCGGCTGTTAAGGTCTTGTTTCCATTATCACGATTGCCGTGAAAGATGTTGACAATTGACAGAAGCGTGAAGATCCCAGAGATACAAGTTGATGAAGCCTGTGGGGAAGTTTACGGTCACCATTTTCGTGTTCTTGTGCATTATAAAATGTTTTCGATGTTTTCTTTGTTATTGGCCTTGTTCCGATATAAATACGACACGTATTGTCTATGAAGCAGAAGGCATTTACCCTTCCTTTCTGTATATAGACATAATTGTACAAAAGAGTTGTAAATAGTACGTCCACGTCTTATTCTGTGTACCAGTCACTCCTAACATTTAAATATAAATTCCCACGTTGTAACAATACAAAGTATACGTGTAGGCGCAAACATTATCTAGCAGATCAGAAGTAATCTTAAACGTAAACATGGGGTCACTGACATTAAATGAAGATTGAATTACCCGACTGAAACGCTCTGTTGTGTTTACTGTATTTTTTCGATTACTTTAGTTTTTCCTTAGTCGCCTTCTTGGCTTCAAACGTTCGACTTAGCATCACGGACGAGTCCTAGGAGGACGAAACTACTGAATGATGCAGTTTATTCTATTTTGGCTCTTTTGCTTCTAACTATACATTTGTATTATAAAGTGCCATTTATTTGTGTTTCTTTTGTACACTCGTCGCAGTTTACTGAAATACATGCGGTGTACTTATATCTGAATACAACGGTAGGTAGAGCCAGAAATGTGAATATGTCACTGACATCAATGGGGATATTCTAGGGAAGGCAATGCTTTTCAGTATTATAAAACTCTGCATATAGTGTAATTCAATACAAAACAACGGGTTGCTTGACATCATAGTATGATAATAATACATTTCTTACAAGTGATAACACATTCTGACATAAATTTAGAGTTAGATACAGTAGAGCCATATAATCAATTAAATTGCATCAGTTTTGTCATTTTAAAACTTGTCAGCATAAAGTTTGAAGACTGGGAGGTAGCTAAGGTCAAAGCCGCATAGTTCCTTGAATTACATATATATTTACATATATTTCACATATATCTTCTCATCCTAGAATAACGTCAAATACATGTGCCACATTGCTAAAATCATGTTGGAGGTCCGACCAATATGGACTTCATTATCATAAAGATAATTGTTTTGGATATTCGTCTTAAAAATCAAAATACAATTGATAAAAAACTGTATATCTTGACAGACATAAATTTTACATCAAACTTTATTTGTTATATTTTTAATGACGTCCTTCTTCGTTATTAGCAGTCAATAATGATTCCGTATAAATAAACATACAGGTATTAGCATATAAAACTAATGACCAAACATAAAATCGTGATACCTCACATAGTCGATTTGTATTGTAATGCACAATATATATGCAAACATCAACATGACTTATAACAATGATCTGATTACTGACACATTTGCAGCGTGTGACAATAAATAAACACTAGATGCTTTCCAACTATACTAGCTAATTGCTAAGACAAATGTCGTCACCTTGCTACTTTAAGAGGTGGTATGAACTGTGACGATGACACGTGTTGCATATTGATTTGCTTCCAACATGATGTACAAATTTTATTAATACTATTTAACCACCTGATTCGGAATCAATTTCAAGTTTCAATAATTATAGAAAAAAATGCCTAAAACTCATATTAGAATATCCTACATTGATGATGAACCAATGGAAAATATGTATAGGGCATAACAAGTAATATCGTTTTCTGATGATGATTGAATTTTCCTC